AATAGGTATAAATATAATATAATATAAATACATTTTTGAAATAATTTTTTTATCTATATTTACATATGCGGGCCACGGGCCGGTTAAAACTTGTTGGCGGGCCGTAGTTTGGAGACCCCTGATATAATGTATTAAATATTTACCTGGTTCCTCCGAGTTAATTGTATCACAAATTAGTGAGTTAGAAAAATATTCGTTTATTCTTTTCATTTTTATTATTTTATAAAATATTTAAACAGTAAGTACAATTTACTAAACGTCCAAAGAGTCAGGAATTTGATTGAAAACTGAGAAAAAGATTCTATATCTATACTGTAGTATTAGCGATACTGAGATAGCTATTAAGGCATATTATATCGGATTACACGATGGTCGACCCTCATGTTTGTGTTTGAACAAATTTCCCAATAATTTCATTAATTTGTAACAAGTTATCAATAATATCTACAATATATTATAACAACAAACTGGGTTGCTTATAAGTTATAATATAATGGAGTATAATTTGGAATATAATATTTTTTTAAATTGTCAATCATTTTTATATACATTTTTACGTTATTACGTAAACTGAAAAAATACTAAAGGGGGGGGGGTTTGAAACCCCAAAACCCCCCCGTGTGTACGCCACTGATCATACCTACAGGTAAAATTATGATACCTATAGTTGAAGAAGCATTAAAATACATTAAGATTTTTCTACAATGAACTTTTATCCAGATTTTTATTTTACGACTTATACCATATGCATATATTATGTACATACCACATGTAAGTACCTATATGCGTGTATATAATATATTATACAATAAACCGATCATTAGATAGTTCATAAGGGCCTATAGGGCATAGGGCATAGGTGCAAGTAAGATAAGGGTTTTAGGAGGTCTTTAGCACCCCCAACAATCCAAACCATAATTCTTAATTTTTATGTAAATATTCGATCTTAATAAGTTATTAAGTTGTTTTTCGATTGTTCGAATTCATTATTTTAGCCATAGAACTTATACTCATAGACATTCAGGTTGTCGGGGTTGGGTGTAGCGGTCAAGGCCATCATCATAGCAGTGTTGTCATTTCTGACAACATAAAATATGTTTATTCGCATATTTATACAGTATATTATTATTAAAACATAAAGTTAAAAATGCATATTTCTAAAAAAAGTGTAATAATTACTTACCATAACAATTAATAAATAATAAATCATATATTCAATAAATGAATATATTATTCATAAATAACAATATAATTTTTATGAATTATTCATCAATCAATTATCATACAATAATTGTTAAAATACAATAACCGATTGCCCAACCTGAAATTCTATTGCGCATGTGCGTATAGTGATTGAGTAATAGTCGAACAGCGCACTCAAGTGGGCTAGCTGGAACTAAGCCTATGCTCCGTCTATTTGTACAAAGTCTATGATTTTAGTATATTAAATGTTTTGAAATATTTTATTTTAGATTGAATGTTGAATACTGGAATAATTTGGTAATAACAATAATTTCCACATAATATTATGTACACAATAAAACCTTTCCAACTCGTATAAATTGCTTCAAACCGTTATCTTAATTCCAGTTTTTAGGAATAAGTGTGCACAGTTTTTTAAGCACACGGTGAATCGAAAATTGGTTAAGCACGAGAATGTTATAACAACGGCGTTCTCTGATTGATCTTTTTTAAATATTAAACGACATAGGTGTTATAAATTATTTAAAGTTAGTTTTAGATAAGCACAATATAAAAACATGAAAAATAGTTGTAGAAATAATGCATGTTGAACCTACATTATGTGTCTGTTTTTACATTTTTTTACTTTTTTACACCCGAAAATATAATATATAATTTAATATCAAATAATATAATACTCATATCCTTATACCTTTATTTCCGTTTCTGGCCCAATCACTGCTCCACTATCTTCTCCATCTTTTCATCACATGGGTATTTTGAATTTTTATAACGGATGCAGTACACCGCCATGGGTGCGAGCTGTCTTCAGATTTTCTTTCTTCGTTTCCGCGGACGGGTGCGAGGAAGGTCCTCTTTCTATAAATGTTAAATCGTCAAGTTGTATACATCTTTTAGTATAATATCATCAAATGCATATTTTAAGTGGCTTGGACTGCGACGATCGATCGATGCGTAGCGCACAGTGTGATTGACCATTGTTCAGAGAACGATTTTTAATTTGAGAGTCTAACAAATCAAAAATGTACGAACTACTCTATCGGAGTAAATAATGACTATCCTTCAACGTTGGCCAGAATTTATGTAAGATTGCACTTAACTCATTTTTCAAAAAAATGTCACTTATCACACTTGTGCGCTACGCCATCGATATTAACAATATATATACTATAATATACCGAATTGAACATCATCGCTAATCCGAAAAAAAATCTCGATCCCCCCTTGCCTCCGACCATAAATCCAGTCACCTGAACGCTCGTGCATCGTGCTGCAGTGGGTAATAGACATGCAGCAACAAGTATTATATACTCGTGTATAGTATAATACGTGTATTCTATTAATACACCAACATGTATAGACGAGATAGGCGACTTTCGCCCGATTTTATAACGGGAAAAAGCGAATAATTTCAAGTTCACTGCACCCCACGCGCGATGCAACCAGTCATCCTATATTATTTCTCTACTTCTACCTGTACATACTATACATATACGAAGGTACATTATAATATTTTATTATACAAATCGGTCGGATTTAGTTTGGAACCGAACCTTTTGACGTGCTGTTTTCGAACACCGCGGCGGCGCCTCGTAGTCCCGCACTCGCGCGCGAGGTAGATTAAAACCGCAATAATAACGGCAAAACAATAGTAATTACCGAAGACCGTAAAATAATAATAATAATAATATGGCTTTAATGGGAATCGATTAAAACGCTATTATTTTATAAGACCGTGGAAATGCAAATAATAATAATATATTATTGACGGTGGGTTGTTCGCGCCACTGCACTCTTTACGTTAAATTTAAATGTCTGGTTTTGTTTTCTAATGACGCCTGTTGAGCTTTCATCGCGTACCTAGACCATAATTTATTGCAATTATATCCTCTGCTGCAATTGATATCTCGAAAACGGACGAGCTTTGTGTATATAGCCGCGTGGTGCAACTCGGTGTTATAATGTAAGTGACATGTTTTCAAGAAACATGATTGATGTATTACCTACCTATATTATACTTTTAACAAAAAAACAAATACGAATTTCATTATTTAAAATATTGTTGCCCACAATCGGTCCAAAAATCCCGATTTCTATAAAAGTGTATACTCGACACAATTAGTATATTAATTGTTGTTATGATAAGCACATAATACTTACGTGTGGAATCTCGTGTAAGTACCGATGGTAAGTAAATTTTTTTTATTATATTACCTATAATAATCATAATTTATTAACGAATAATTAATTTTAATGTACAATTAAACAAATATCTGGATCGTCTGTTTGCTAATAGACGAATCTTATGCTAGCTGTTTTAATTAATATTTAAATGAGCTAAAACAATAAGGACCTTGTATAGGTGAAATTATGGGTCTCGTAACACAAAAAAAGTCGTCTAAAGATATTTCTTTGTTAGTCAATGGGTTTTCCAGCCTCTTATATTATGAGTTATGATGTATGCCTTCCATGAATCTTTTTGTGCACACTCATAAAATTGCTGTTGGAATTTCCCATATGAAAATCTTACAGTAGTTATTAACACAACTATATACGACTCTATATTGATCACGAATTTCATTTTTATCATAATGCTTGTCTTAGGCGTATTGTTCTTAATGAAGTCCAACTATTCTATTACCTTTATCTGTCCAGTACAAAATGGATTTTCAAATTTAAATCATGTATTTTTTTCAATTCATTGTCTCGTAAAACTAACTTATTATGAAGGCTAATATACAATGCACTTGTAAATTATTCGATTGGAGGTATATAAACGACTTAAAGTTTTATTATACTAAACTAAAGTAGGAGTAACTAGTAAGTAAGTAATAGTATGGTTACAACTTTATAAAAAAAAATAATGTTTTATTATATTATATTATTTAATTATATTACCTATTATAGTAGGTACTATTATGGTCATAATAATTAATAAGTATCTCATAATTATTATTACCTATTATAGAACTGTTAGTTATAATAATTAATAATAGTATCTCATAATCATTTTAATAGATTATATGCAACTGCACAGTTACACAGACAAGCGTTGTGTGATAATTTGTAAGTGAAACAAAATCGTACTAAATCTTAAACCTTTGAAAGTGTCCAATATATTTAACGACTTGAATCCTTTTAAAATCGCATAAGTGCAGTTGTTGTTGTATTTTTATGGGGTCTGCTATTTGTTTGTATTCAAAATGTCCTTCGAAATCTTTGTTGCTGTCTATTGCTACAACAAATGTAGGCTTTGAATCCCCATACTCCGTTACCATTAGCCGACGGGATAACTTGATGCGCGTGTATTTTATCGCCTGTAGTGTATTGTACAAGTATATCATACATCATACGGATAATTATGTGCTTTAAATTATTAAGTTTGCCGGGGATTGGGTTCTGACCTCGAGCGTCGGAACCGTTATAAAGTTTCTTTGACGGGTAAAAGCCAAATTGGATTTTGGGTAAGTCGTTGCGGTGGTGGTAGTGGATGGTGCAGTAGTGGTGGTGTAGTATAGTGGCGGTGGAGGTGGTGGTGGTGATAGCGAATGTGGTGGTGGTGGTGGTGGTGGTGGTGGAAGGGGTGGTGGTGGTAATAGCGATGACGGTGGCAGTGACGAGGGCCAGGGTTAGGTTAGGATAGTGGTGTACGGTGGTGGAATGACAAAGGCGGGTGTTTGGCAAGTGGATGGGAGGCGAACCATGAGAGGAGGGGTTTTGATCTCCGGGCCGAGGATTTTCGAACTACCCTCTCTATCCTCGAGCTCCCGCCTTTTCCCGACTGCCGCACGTTCCTTTTATGTGTTCCCTTCACCACCTAGTCCGTCTGGGAATAGCTCTTTGTACGACCTCGTTTGACCCGGCCGAATTTCAGACACCCGCACCTTGCCACTGTGCGACCCAGACACGGTTGCGCAGCGGACGGTGAAGTATTTTTTCTCAATCCCACCCCGCCATCCGTTTCCTTCGACCACCACCAACCCCACCGCTGAATAACAACCGATCCCGGCCATCCCATCCCACACAACCCGTCCACTCAACATCAATCCGGCGCCCACCACAAGGTTTTGAACCCCTTTTGGCCATAATAGCGAGGACCGGTGGTGGAGGAGGAGAGAATACTCCATACACTCGATCCCATTAGAACTTTTTGGTTCGCTTGTTTTCAGACCGTACTCCCTCCATTCCTCCGTTTTTAGACTTTTTCTTCCCCTACTTTTCGCTCTCTTTCTTTCTTTATTATTCTTTGCCCCCTCTCTTCCCCTGCATCGTTTTCTTTGTTTTTTTAACTACTCGATTTTTTCATCTAACTATACTCCATATCAGATTGACTCGTTGTTATCCCTTGTTCGTATGTTTTTAAAAAACAAACAAACCATTCAGACGTGTAGGATAAGAAAATATATCTTCTACACAATGTTGTTAGTTATGTCACTGCAGGACTTATTTCCGCTGATTGCACGTTGTTCGATAGTTAAAATAGATTTATTTTACAAGAAAGAAAAAAATCCATTTCATAATTTATTGGTCTTGTTTTTATTATTAGGTACATATTATACTTTTTTATGTATAATAATATCATTACGATATTTTTATACTACGCTTGGAGGACAAGATATCATGTACAATGTACTAGATTTTGTATTTACCACCTGTTTCATGTTTGTAAGTCTTGTTGCTTAAATTAAAATTAATTTAAAAATTATAAATTGTTAATTGCTTAATTTATATGTTATTCATACTTGATTAAGCTATTAAATAAGTGTATATACATGTCCTACAATAATAACATAATTAGTGATTTCTCTCATATATTTTCTCAGATTCTATAAAATCTATCCAACCTTATATTACCTATATGGCTATATCCTTCATTTTAAAATTTGAATTTGATATTTTATCATATTTTTTTTCGAATGATTTAATTGTTTTGTTACCATTAATACATTTTTGAAAAAAATAATACTAATTATTACAGCACTTGGACGGTTACATAAAATAATAAATGTATAATAAGCCAAATAGATTAAAACATAATAATATTATGTTGGAAATAATTCAATTTTGGTTACCGTTTCTATAAGTTAATAAATAATTATGTAATAAAAATAAACATGATAAATTTAATTTTAAATTTGTATAGGTTATAACTTAATTTGTTAGTTGAAATACAATTTTAAGTAATAATTAAAATTGAGCTCATATATAAATTAATACTATCAACTGCTTACACTAGAACAAGTCAAGAGGTATTGCTAAAAATCTTGACCTAAGACAATTTTAAGAGATTACCTATTTCTGTACATAGTTTTGATTGTCTGCTAATACCAATTTTTTATTCACTTCCTATATCCCAATCATGTACGTAACCTAACCGCAGAATAAATTTGATTATTAAAATTGAATTTATTTTGTGCAACTTAATCTATGTTCTACACTCTTACGTCTTAAGTATACCTCTATACTCTGTTTGGCGAAAGAGTAAGCTGAGTCTGCACACCCCCGTGTGACTCCCTAGCCATCATCGATACTGGTTCCACTATGTAGCAGGGTGTTAGTGAGTGTCAGATCCGCAAAAGAACCGATTTTTGTAGGGCCGTCACGTATTCTCTCGCTGGACAAAGTACATAATATATAGACATATAATATTATGTAATCTGTATAATAATTAACCATTATATTTTATTCCAATTTCATGGATACTTGAATATTACTATATCGTGAAAAAGTATGAATAAGTAATAAAATATTATATTATAGGTATATTATTATATAACTGTTTCATACATTTTATAAAATGTTAATAAGGAAATATAATTTATACTTACAATAAAACATAAATTATATAATATGTATAATTAGGTTAGGAGTCGAATGTATAACTAATATAATACAAATATTTTATTATACATTTTTGACTTCTCATTGATTTGATTTTTATGTTCGCTTCAAAGATACTCAACAAGGATAGAGGACGGTATTTTCTGTGTAACTGTTGATTAGGTACTTTGACACTCCAATCATTTCGATTTTATTTCTCTCTAAATTTTAATCGATTTTCTAGTCCATAAGAACAGGGGCGTCATTTTAGGTTTTTTTTCGGGTGTGCGAGGTTTCAAGCAGGCCATTTTGAAATTTCATCAGGCCATATAAAAATAGATATACAAACGTGCATTATCCTGTTTTCAATTATTTCTATACATTATGGACCGAATAAATTCGGAATCATTGCATCAAAATAAATAGTAAATATCAATTAAGATACTAAAATATAATAAATAATTAATTACCTTAACAGTGAAAAACCAATAATAATTTATGCATAATAAGCTAGAAGAAGAATTAATGCAGCAGCAAATAAAAAAAAAAGGACTTAATATCTATATTAATAAATTGTCATTTATTTTCATAATTATTATAATTTTGGAAAAAGCAAAGCGTTAGAAAAAACAAATTTTTATTTAAATAAGCGGATATCGTCGATTTTTTAGTTTAGCAAATATATCTACAGCTTCTTCTAAATTTATATTGTTAACTTCTTCTTTTTCAACATTAAGTACCATCAGATCATTAAGTCTTTCATCACCCATGGTAGTGCGTAAATATGACTTAACTCTTTTAAGTAATAAGTGATGAAAAAAACCTTTCATTTGATGCCGTTGTAATTGGTAAAGTTTTTGCCAATGAAATAATTTTTAAAGTTTCTACAAAAGCGATAGGAAAATCTTTTAAGCAATATTATTAGGCTTCAGCGGGGCGCAGGCCAATTGGAAGTATTTAAAAATTAAGGGGTGCTACCGCACACCCTGACCCCCCCCCCCAAATGACGCCCCTGCATAAGAATGTTGTTTGAAATGTTTAGTGAAATAAATTACTAATCATACGGTTTTCAATCCTAGTAGTATATATAGGTTACTCGTATTAAAGGGGTTTTCATAAATAATCGCCTCAACTCAAAACAAAATAATTAGGACACATTCCTGTTATGTTTTATTAATAAAATGTCGTAAAAATTGAAATTTCGGGTGGTCAGCCATCAGTTTATTAATAGAGTGACATTCGTTATAAATATTATGTGTTTTAATTTTGTACGTACAATAATGATATTAATAACAATAATAATAATACAAATAGTAATCAACTATAGTACTAGGTACTACAATATATTTATGACTGAACAATAACTAATAAGTAATAAGGTTTAAGGCACACGTTAATCCAAAAGTATTAATCTGTTTGACTATACAAATCATCTGGATTTCTAGCGAGAACCCTTTTTGTTTTTAATATAATTCATCGAATACCTCTATATAATATTATTTTATAAATAATACAAAATAATACTTGAATATAAATAAATAAATCATGATAATACAACTAAATTCATTGTGTGAACACGAGTAATTGCAAATCGTCCCGTATAAATATTAAATTGTGTCATATTTTCTAAACGTGACTTTCATAAGCTATTAGCAAAATGCATTTCACTGGACGGCAGTGGGGAAAGGGATACAAAATGATAAACTCTGGTTGGTAACTAAAACGGTGCATTTTATTTTTGTATTCATTTTGAGGTCAGTGCAGACGATTGCAGTAAACCATATTTAAGAGAGAAAAAAAACGTTCCCTGTTGAATATTTTTGCCAAAAAATTGGCCGTTTATCTTTTCAGGCCGTTGCGTGTTTTTCGCGAGTTCTAGAAATAACCAGGCCGTTCACATCGCGGGTCGTACCCGCACGACCGATTTTCACGGACGTTGCCAAAAAATTTCCCATATAATTGTTAAGACTGCTTAACACGCACAGGCCTAACTAAAACAAACGCGCAATACATGTGTATTCGCCTATAAATATATTCAGTGTAGTTTATCTTTTAGCCAAGGCTTCCGTTTGAATTACGTTTCGCCGTTTCGGGACGTAGTGGCCAAGACATTATGAGAATCTATAAACGCTCAGAAACGACGACGAAACCACACCGTGGTGATATGGTATTTATTTATTTAATGTACAACAACGTTGCTCATAAATATTTATCCTAAAGATCAATGTATGTCTTACATGATACACATATTGATACACAGATATTTTATGATAATATATGTTTTTCGTCTGCAGAGAAATATAATTCCGAGTTCAACTTGAAAACATTTTCCTAGGGTTTTTTTCGAGTAAACATAATATAATGATATATCATTATATATTATGTTTATATATATATAACTAGCGAGGTACATTATATAATTTAGCGAGGATTATTTTTTTATACAAACATGTACCCAGTTTAAATTGGCCATTTAAATTGGTACAAAATAATATTGCTTCTCCACATAGTTCAAATTTAAAACTATACCCTAATAGTTTTAGTTGTAAGCTCAAATTATATATTTAAGTATTTTAACTGACCGGAGGTAGGAAGGATCCTTGTTGACAAGACAGTATCCAGAAATTTATTTAGGGGGGGGGTCCAAAACATGTATATTGTAATATTATTGAATTTAGGTTTTGAAATTTGGTTAAAAATAAGACATATTGAAGAAATTTCGGGGGGATCCAGGGGATCTGGACCCTCCCTCAGATATGGCCTTGCTTGTTGACACCAGTCATAGCAAGCTTATAATTAAGCTTTAAATTACTTACAGGATCCTTTTTGAATAGTAAAAAAAACATAGTTGGATCAATTTATTGGATTCGTTTAATCCAAATATTAGTTAATATTACCCTGCAGTCGAACATTTTTATACTATTTCGAACCTTTAGTAGTCAAATAGTCAATAGATATATTAAGTATGTAACATAATATTATTGCTTGGGCAATGGGCATATAATAATATGTTCCTATCATGTGATAAGGAGACTAAAAAGAATGAGATAGCCATGTAAAAATCCAATTAATTTTAGTGTGCAGAAGCCCCTGCTTAAACATTTCTAGTTACATTCTAATAAGTAATAATTAGTGTAGAGTTTATAGTATAGTATAATATGCGTCATTATGATCCCGAATCAAATATTTAATATTTTTTATAAGTTTATCATAATATATAGGTATAATAGTACAATATAATATTATATTGTAGGTTTATTATTTAAAGAAACTGTGTATAGGAAATATAGATAACCGATATACTTAG